AAGGGACGAAAAGAAACAGGCGACTAAAAAAGACTTTGGACAGATATGAAAATTAAACGCCACCTACGAGTAATCGTTGACCGATTTTCCTACTTGGCCTGCGCCAATGGAATTGTGTTATCAAGAAATGTTCGCCAAAGAAAGTCCACTTGAAAACGTTAATTTTGATAATTGACAAAACACAGGTGTAGCTACAGAGCCTTAGTTAGATATGGAAAATTAAAATCCCACACAAGCAGTCTCGCTGACTGGGTTCTTTTCGACGGAACAACTTTTGCCCTGCGATAATAAAATTTATGTTATCAGAATATGTGCCGAAGAAAATGGGTGGGGACCCAGGGGTGTTTTTCTTTCTTCCTTGGAGACGTCAGACTGACTGAAAACTTGGGGATAATTCTTTTTGAGGCCATGTTAAGAAAACCAACCATCTGATGAATTAGCGATAAACTACTTGACAAACGCCACGTGTCATATTATCCGTTCATGATAACGGCGATTTGAAAGGAAGAAAAAGGAAAGAGAAGAGATAATTAATTTTTTTTTTTAAGCAAGGTATTTTTTTTTCCGAAACAAAGCCGCGGATTGTTCACGCCCGACTAAGACGTCATCGGTCAAGTGGTGATCACGTGACGCACGAAGGAGGAGGAAAGATACCCGACCAAGACCTCATTGGCCGAGAGTGATCACGTGACGCACGAAGAAGGCTGTCGACGCCCCCATCCAGAGTATAAGTATGAGAAGCTGCTACGAAGAAGTGGGGAGGCAGTTCACGCCCCTCAGAAGCATGGTGAGAAAGGGGAGGAAAAAAGTTACCAAAAATGGAAAAGAGTGGAAAATCCCTAACCAGAAATAAAAGAGGTGGATATGTATTTAGAATTATCGAGGAACTCCCCACACGACGCCAACAGACCCAACCCGGTTTTTGTCGGCGTCAATAAAAGCCAGGCCCCAACAGGCAGAAATCAGTTCGGGCCCTGGCGGCAGAGATGATAGACCAAGATAGCTGACCAAGATTCACGCAAAATTTCGGACTCCTCTTCAACCAAGAACAATTATTTTGAAGAGCGACTTAGGACCAGACCACCGAAATAAGTTTTTCGACTTTCGTCCAAAGACACACCGAAACACAAATTTCTTAGACAGCAGACAACTTGAAGCGTTAAAACTTGCCTAGCGAAAGCGACATGACACAATCCACAGAACGGGTCGGGAGATAGATGCAGTCCTATGTATCGAACAACTAGACATAAAGTTGGTTACCTTTTTCTTTGATACTTTGAACTTTTTGAGTTTTCATTTTATTTTCTTTTATGCATATTTGTGTGTTATCACCCCCATTGAACTCAATTTGCATTACGGCCCCAACCCCTGTTTGATCTCGTCTGTCTAAGATCAATTCACAACGTGGGTAGGCAGACTGGAGATCAGTGCAGTTACCTTGGTAACCAGGCGTTGGAAGCGAGTTGGGAACGGCGAGGCTGATATCAAATCTAACCAGATTCCTACCCGAATCACCAAAGGGTTAGAACGTCACATTTGGGTGCCGCGACCGATACCAATCCAGTTGGTCGTTACAGTACGAGACAACACGACTGACGCGACAGGCGAACGTCACGTTTGGAGCAGCGACACCCGGACGGAGCAGCGAGAAGCGAACAGCTGGCGCGGCGGTGAAGACGTCACAATTGGTGCTGTTTAGGGACGTCACAACTGGTGTAGTGACCGGGATACGACCCTGGAACGGCCACGTCACAACTGGCGCCGTGGTAGATCAGGATAGAACGTCACAGTTGGCGCTGCGACCTGGGGCAGCCACGTCACATCATTGGTGCCGTGACCATAGGATCAGAACCTGGGGTAGCCACGTCACAACCCAAGTCTCTTCAAATGGTAAAAGTCGGTTGAGATATCGATTTTCAAATGCTTACCAATCACTTCCATCGAAAAACCTCTGTTTTTCTCCAGGGGAACAAACAGAACATCTTCATCGAAGTTTGAACTTTGGGTGTAGCGTGGTTGATCGATGAAGATGAAATCAGCCTGGAGAAATTTCCCAATCCTCTTTTTGACCATTCTAAGAGCTGGCGCATGCTCAAAATAAACCTTAACTTTGTTTCTTGTTGCAGTTCCGACGATTACTGATTTCCGAAATTCAGAGAGGATAATATGGCGAAAGTGAACATTCCATCCTCCATATTTAAGGCATTCATTTGTGGACAAAACGTCAACATTCAACAAAGTCTGACACGCAACTGAACGATGCAAAGTTTCAATCCAGAACACACCAGAAATCGGTACAAAAACAAACACCAGTGTCAAGTTGCTGCCATTTTAAACTAACAATGAAAATTGGGCACGAACTTTTGCAGTGATCTGATGAATAAATTATAGATAAACACAAACTGCGTGCTTTTTTATTTACTAGTGTTCAGTCAATACAAGGACCAAGAGCTATTCAAGGTAGAGGGTTATTGAAGGAGGATGAGCGATAAGAGTAAGAGAAAGAGGCGCCGTTTAAGATATGTGGGACAGATAAAAACTAACCCTAGACTTGAACAGGTTAAGATTGTAGTGGTCGGGAAAGAATAGCTACTTGCATTATTTACATTATTCGGACTATTATCCTCATCTTCATTGCCATATTCAAAACATTTCAACCGTTGTACGCTCCGGCCTTCTTCAGGTGATTGAAATATCGGACTGAACTCTTTATTTCGTCCACCGGGGTAGATTGTTCTAATTCCACGTGTCGTGCCTCAATCTACCACGGTAGACGAAGTAAAGGGGTCAGTTCGAAATTCCAATCACCTGAAAAAGGCTGGAGCGTACAACATCCGAAAAGTTGTGAATGTGCCAATGAAGATTAAGATAACATTCCGAACAATGTAAATAATGCAAATCATCATAATAGCTCATCTCAGAGATATAAACAGATATTTAAATAGCTATTAATAAGAATTTAAAAAAATTCGTAGCTGGAAAGAGTAAAAAAGAGACAACTCTGGCCTGGATATGGCTACAGTATTTCTTTCATAAACATGAACATGAATATAATGTGTATATTTGAAACCCTTTTTAATCATTGATCATTTCTATTAATTCTTCTTATTTTTGTCATGTTCCTTCAACACCTGGGAGATCATAGCACACAAAAAGTTCCTGTCTTTTGTAGCTCTTAATAAATATGTTTGGTATTTCACTTTATTCCAATATCTATTTACTCAAGTTAGCTCGTTAGATTATGCGCTGTTTTCCTCTGCCCATCCTGATTGAACGGCTAACTCTAGACTTGACCAGGCGAAGATTGTAGTGGTCGGGAAAGCATTTGGGAAGAAGCTGTTTGAGTGGGATTTTCTTTTTGAAGTGAAAGATGGTTCGACTCAGTGTATGTGGTATGGTGGCTCTTAGCTTTGAGGATTAGAATTGGTGGATCTAAAGAATGTATCTCGTCGATATTTTCCATGGAAATTGCATTACAGTAACGAGAGGTTTGCAACATTTCATCTCTGGGAAAGTGCTGTAGGGTGGAAAATAATGCATCACACCCAAGGATAAGTGGTCGCTTTTGAACAATATTAAATTTAAGAATAGATTATTCGGATTATTATCCTCATCTTCATTGCCATATTCACAACGTTTCGGCAGTTGTATGTTATGGCCTTCTTCAGTTGATTCGAATTTCGATCGAACCCTTTCTTTTGTCCACCGGGGTAGATTGTTCTAGTTTCATGCGTTAGACCTTAATCTACCCCAGTCCAAATAATGTAAATATTGCAAGTAATCATAATACCTCATCTCTGAGATATAGACAGATATTAAAGTAGCTATTAATAATAATTTAAAAAAATAAAAAAAATAAAAATAAAAAAAAACCTTTTATTCATAGCAGGCAAGAGTGGAAAAGAGACAACTGGACAACTCTGGCCCGGATATGGCTACAGTATTTCTTTCATAAACATGAACATCAATGCATATAATGTGTATCTTTTGTGCGTTCGAAAATTTTCAAATCCAGTTTTTCTCATTATATGACGTAGAAACTTCAACTGTCTCTTCCTGATGATAAATATAAATCTCCTTTTGGTTTCCATCGTTGCTCAACTGCTCCGTTCATGATAATCTCAGCATCTTTCTATAGAATCACACCCTTTGTTGCTTAATGTCTTTTCTTCATCTCTGAGAAATTTGTGCCACATTTTCTACTATATAAGAGAATTGATTGTATATAACAGTTGAGTATTCTTTTCTTTGTTTCTAACTAAATTTTTTTTCTCTTTCTTATTACTTTGCATGGCTTTTGGAAGGCATTTTTCGCTATCCCAAATCGCCATCAAATTTCAGTATCGCATTTTCCGTCCTCTGTCATAACACTTCCTCGATGGTTAAATTGTTGTACTTGCTTGATTTTAGTATCTCCAAATTGTAGTTTACATGTTCGAATCATTCTTTTGCTAACAACCATGCATTTCGTCTTCTTGCAATTGATGTTTAGTCCTTTCTTCTGGCTTTCTTTCTATAGGACTTCTTGTAGTTTCCATTCTGTGTCTCCTATCAACACTGTTTCAGGTGCATAACTTATGTTGTTATGATTGTCGGCTTTATCTGCGATAATCATTCTTTCTATTTTTGCATATTTTTCGTTGAGCCATTCCTCTTTAGCCTGCTTGGATTCGTTCCTAATTTTTTTATGCAGAGCTCTATATTCTGTGCCGTACCTTGGCATTGTTTTTTGCCTCTTTTTCAGAATGTCGAGTATTCCATCTGTCATTTGTTTGTTTTCTTTTGTCTATTCTTCTTTTATTTAAGTATTGCTATTAATAATAATAATAATAATAATAATAATAATAATAATAATAATACAAAAAAAAACAAACTTATTCCTCGCTGGAAAGTGTGGAAAAGAGACAACTGGTCAACTCCGGCCCGGATATGGCTACAGTATTTCTTTCACAAGCATGAATATCACTGCATATAATGTGTATTTTTCGTTCGTGATAAGTTCATGTATGTCTATTTGGATGCCTATGTTCGTTTGTATAAGACTTCTCATCTTTCTGGGTGCAACCACGAAATGTCGACTTAAGGTTTCTATATTTTTTCAACAGAATAATCACACGCATCAATAAAGAAGTACGCTTCCTTGCTTTGGGCTTAGAGAGAGAGAGAGGCTGAAGGAAGAGCGAGATTGTCTGGTTTATAAATCGCAAAGGGGTCAGGCCGGAACAGATTGAAAACTTGAAAGAAGGAGGGGAACAAATGATGTTAACGAAAAGCGAAGCTGAACGAAAAGACGAAGAAGACACATTTAGAAAAAAAAAATAGTAACTGACAAAGGGGAAAAAAAACTGAATAACTGAATTATTGCGAAGAAAGAGTATTTCAAGAGAAATAAATGATGCCAAGCAAATAAACTGATAGATAGATAATGGGAAAGAAGAGAGGTTGAAAGAAGGACTCTAACAGTAATTTCACTACTACTACTACTACTACTACTAATAATAATAATAATAATAATAATAAAAATAATATCATGCGATAGAAAGCTTATGGGATCTAAAAGAATTAGAAGCTATTTTTATTGTTGTGGGTTTCTTTGGAAAAATAACAGACAAAATCTAAAAATGGCTGCCTAAAATTGTGAATGTGAATCGAACTGAAATACTTCGGAAAATGTCGATTTAGAGAGGTGATATCATGACCGGATCTATGGTTATTTCTTATGTACAGCTCCAGATCTTTAGTTACGGCATAAGATCTTTTTGAGAAAAAGAAGAACAGATATAATATTAACAATAAAAGATTTCTGTATATATCTCGGAGATTATTATGAATTACAACAAAAATTGCAATATAAACTGTGGTAAAAAAACAAAAAAAACAATGAAATAATAGTTTTGAGTTCAATACCAGGCTACAGCAGTGGTGAAGCAAAAAACTTGGTGAGTTGAGTTAAAGGGACATCCGGTAGAGCCATGGCACGTTGTACTTGAACAATTTACCACGGTGGGCGAAATAAAGGGTTCGAATCGAAATTCCAATCATCTGAAGAAGGCCGGAACGTAAAAACGGCTGAAACGTTGTGAAAAATGGCAATGAAGATGAGAATAACAGACCAATAAATGTGAATTATGCAAGTATTAATAGATTTGTTCATTTAAGTTATTTGTTAATAGCTATCTTTTTTCAATTAAGCGGTCACAATAAAATATCACATCCTTCGCTTGGCTTACGACATTGGTTATCACCCGACATGTAATTATGAGACAAATGCAGGTCAAAAAGTAAATTATTATTGTTATTATTATTATTATTATTATTATTATTATTATTATTATTATCTTCAAATTATTTCTCATTTAACAGTTAAAATATTTCATCCTTGAATGGGTAAAGCGCTCGGATAAAAAGAACATTCGGACAGTTTTATGTAATTTATCACCCGGAGCATATCGACGTGGTGTAATGGTTAGAAAGCTTGTCTTGCTAGATCAATTACGACTGAGTAGTGAGTTCGATCCTCATTGGGTGCCCCATACTTTGGGCCTTGTGCCACATCTAAGCCGGGCTTAGAAAATCACTATAATTTATCACCTGAAAAAAGAAAAAAAATATTAGATTGCATGAGAAATTGTATAAAAACTAAATAAAAGCACCTTGTCTGTTGTATAAAATGAAATGTGCATGAAAGAAGGATTGCTGCCTAAATGCAAAAATATGTGTGTGTGCGTGTCGTGTGTTTTCTTACCACCTTATCATTCTGAAAAGAGGTAACATTTTACTTTTGAAATTTAAAAAAAGTATATAATCACCAGTCACTTATTCATTTGCCTGAAGATGTACAACGTAGTATCGAAACACGAAAGCTATTGTGTATCAATTTCAACATGTCTTTATTCTAATATCTAAAATAATAATAATATATTGCCCTACTTTTCATATACCACTTCAAAATATTCGCAGCCAAGGTTTTCACGTCCAAAGACTTTTCTTTTCATGTCAAAGAACCAATTGGAGATGAGCTGTTCAAGAAAAAACATCTTTTGAAAACACGGAAGATAAACAGAAGAGACGAAAGGGACCCAAAGAAAAACAAGAGTTTTCCATCACCTGAATCCCTCTACCATACAATGCGGTGACTGTGGACATCGCTTCAGATCCAACATAGGACTCATTTCACACAGAAAGAAATGTCGATGAGTAACCCAATATTCATCAATGAGTTCCGCCAACGGACGAACGACGATGTCCGTTTCCCCTCAAGATATCTTTAAAAACTTCATAGAAGTATAAAAAATATAATAAAACACTAGTATTTGTTCAATCATTGCTAGTGTTGAGAAAAACAGTAGTACTCATAATGAACGCGAAAAAACGAAGGAAAATCAACCAGCGTGAGTGGAATGCAACAGGAACGTGAGTACACGATAGGGGCGTATTCATCTTTAAATTCTTTATACGTTAATTAATTACTAAGAGGAATTAATCAAATAGTTTAGCATAACTCTTACTGTCATTTTGTTTATTCCCAAGGGGTGGGACGTTAATAGTTTGCATATGTAATTATCTTCATGTGTTTTAAGGATTGACAGTGGATTTTGAATATTATTTTCAAAATGTGTACCTTAACAACAACAACAACAGCAATAATAATAATAATAATAATAATAATAATAAATGCATCTTTGAATGAAAACTTTTCAGAAACTCAGGAAAGGCAAGGACCCCCGACACCGAAATCAGTAGAACGTGTCATTTCAAGACAAGAATTATTCTCTTGGAGGCATTAGGATTGATATCAAAGGAGCAAACTAATGAATGAAACAAAATCTTTCTGACCCTAAATGATAAGGTTTACATAAAATCATACATACGTGGATTTATCATTTCTTATGCAGATTTCTCGCAATGCAGTGATCATAGTGCATTCTCTCCGATTGTATTTGTCACCTCATCTGTCTGCATCTTTTGATACAAAAAAAAAACCCAAAACTCGTCTCAAAACGTCTCTGGTTGAGACTTAGGACCAACTTGTGCTTCACAGAGCAAATGCAAAAACACAATTTTCATTTAATAAATAATACAAGCATACATCTAGAAATGATCAAGCACACATATTAAAATACTGTGTTAAGCTCAAAATGTAGGTTCTGTGATAATTACCCAAAAGCAATTGATCATATTGTATCAGGTTGCACAGCGGTATTAGCACCCACTGAAGCTATCAAAAAACTATCAAAATACAAGGACCTTGAAATCAAAATCTCAAAAATGTAGCACATGGGTGCATCGACTACCTCTCTTGTAGTTGACGCCCTCGGATTTGTTGGAAAATATTCCGGTAGACTAATTGAAGGGATTCCTAAAAGCTCATGCTTTAAAGAAATACAAAAAAATTATTCTCACGGGTACAGTCCACACCTTCTTAAGGGCTTTACATATATATATATATATATATATATATATATATATATATATATTGTCAGTGGAAAATGCCATTTCTAACCTTAGGTCTCTGGGCGGGACCCGGAACGAAATCAAAGGAAATAAAATAAATATTGTACATAATATAAATATATTATAAATATGTTGTTGTTGTTATTATTATTATTATTATTATTTTAGTAAATAGTAATAGGTGTGGAGTAATGGGTCACGGCTCGGACTGAGGAATCGGAAAACCAAGTTCGAATTCCAGTCGAATCCATTACATTCACTTATTGGGAAAGACATAAATCCTCTTCTCCCCTCAGCTATGAATAAATAGCAGGAAAGACTGGGTTCTGTTGCCTTGGGTGGCAGAAAGTAATGGCAACATACTGCAGAAAAAAAAAATCTGCCTCGTAGTCATTTATCGAAAGGTACATGATCGCCTAAGCGTGATCACGCATGACACATAACTGACTGAACAGCTAATAACAATAATAAGAGAAATCGTAATAAAACAAGTAAAGCTGACAAAATATCGACAGTATTTGAGAGACGTGAAAAGGTAAATCGTGAAGGCTTACGGTCATATCACATTGAAACCCCGGTTCTCGAACGATTATCGAAGTTAAGCAACGTCTCGCCTGGTCAGTACCTATATGGGTGACTGGTTTGGAATACCAGGTGCTGCAAGCTTGCATGTGCTTATGGGAGTAATGAATAACGGCTTGGAATTGGGAATCGGAAAGCCGAGTTCCAATTCCAGTCGAGTTTGTTATATTCACTTACGCTCAAATATCCAGGAGAAAGGCATGAAACCATTTATCCTCCCTTCAGCTATGAGTTAATTAGTAGGAGCACATCAGTAAGTCATTATTATCTCCAAAACTTTCTTATCATCTAAAAACAATTTGCGGCTTTATTTAACTTGCAAAAGGTTGATAAACCGTAAAAAACAAATCATTCAGTGACTAAATGGTAAAGATAAGAGTCGCACGCAACATCACCGTAACCCTTAACTGCTTTAACCTCACACTTTATTATTATCCAAAGTTTGATCAAGAATATTAATATTAAGGTAACATAATTTTGTTCACATACCATTGCTCATAAACGAAGATGCGCAGGTAGTGTACCGGCTGTTAGCGCAGAAACTGAAACTGTGTAGAAAATTTTAAACAGTTTGCTGCTTTCTTTTATACAAATGCACTTGAGACATGACTCCCTCTCTTCTCTCCCAGCTATGGATTAAATAGCAGCTCATCCTGGGCTCGGTAGCCATAGTTATCAGTTCGTCTAATTGACGCAAATGCAAACCCCGACATACGGCAAACGAAAACCACTGCACTATCTCCCCCAAGAAGTTATGGCAGTTCACAAAAAAAATTTAAAAAATCAGAATCTGTGGAGAACGTTGACTACCTATATTCTGAAGAGAATTTTGTGATGTCAGCGAACACACGGTACCACTTCTCTAATGTCAACGAATACTCGTTGTCACTTTCGTAATGCTCGTTGTAGTAGAGACTTTGTAATCGCAGTTACAACTATAGTAACGCCGTTGAACAATACAGGCGTCAGACGCCTTCGAATAACACTCGCACTAATAGTACTTGCTTGAAAATACTCGCTCACAAAGTAACCACTGAATAATAATCCGTATAGAGAATAGTTTAGAGAAGAGAATAGCGATCCGTATAGTAATAGAGGATAGAACAGAAATGGCGATCGATTAGACGTCACGACCAAGATTATGCGTTTCCTCTATGATCACGTAGTTTGCTTAATTCAATAATGGGATCACCTGTGTTTGCTCACTGGCGATCTATGTACAAACTCAAGTGTCGGCAGCGACAATTTATTCCTATATAACAGAGACGTAACAGTAAAATTAGCTCATATTCACATTGTCAATATAAAATTTGTTTGAATGTGGATTTAATGATTGTTCACATTGCAGTCCATAATTAAAAATTAATAAAGACATGGCAATGTTGTAAATTCGTAAGTCTATTAAAAATAATCTGGAATATGAAAATATCTGTTATGTCAATCATTGCTGAAACACTTTGAATTGGATTAGATAGGTGTAGCATAGTCAATGTTGGCCAGCCTCTCCCCACTTCCCCTTCGGCCTTGTATCCCAAATTAATGTAAAAACATTAATTAAATAAGCATTGCTGAAGCACTTGGAAGAACGTAAAGAAAAAACATAAAAAAGAAAAAGAAAAAAGAACGAATAGTTTGGAAATTAAAAATAACGAACCACCAAGATACCAGATCTGACTGGTAGACTTATAAATGAGTAAGATAGTTGTGACAAATTGTCTGTCACGACACAGTGTAACAACTTTTTAGCAGCAGCCTTCGCAAGAGCCTCAATATCACGATTAGGAGCCCAGTGATCTATTAGATCCGTAGAGGCACCACATACATTACAACCGCAGCGGTGATGGTGTTGCATGACAGAGCCTAACCCTCCCCCGGTTAGTTTTGAATTCAGAGTTTTCTACAAGGCCGGTTGCTATCCAAGGCTTATAGGATTCCAAACTGTTCTGCTATTTAACCATGGCTGGGAGTAGGGAGAAAATAGATGAATTCGTACCTTTCCCAAGGTTATTTGCACGTAAGTGAATGTAATGAATTCGACTGGATTTTGAACTCGGATCTCTGATTACTCAGTCAGATTCGTTATCCATTACTCCACCGTGCTTCAAATTCCAGTCAGTATTAAGCGAAAACATTAGACAAAATTTTTACAAAATCCGAATAAGAATCTGTAATATTATTGAATTCGACCTGGCATCTTGTCTTCAGTCTCTTTGCCACCGCTTCATTGTGTCTTTTCTAAAAATCTCAGAGTAGATATCATTTTCGCTCCTTCTTTGAATTTTGGTAAAGAATCTCGAGACATAGAAATATTCGATGAACAGACTCTATAAATTTATAAATGTACAAGATGGATTCTGGCGAGAAAAAAATATCTGGAACGGCTCAGTGAATCATCTTTCCTAGCAGCAGACCGTGTAATTGATTTATTATAATCCTTCTTGGGGTGTGGGCGGGTCGGATTGAGGAATCGGAGAGCCGAGTTCGAATTTCAGTCGGATCCATTACATTCACTTACATGTTAATATTCTTGGGAAAGGTAAGGGTCCTCTTATTCTCCTCCAACCTATGGGTAAATAGCAAGACAGACTGGGTTCTATAGCCTTGAGTTGCAACTGGTCTAGGAGAAAGTAACTCTAAATTCAAAACTGTAAACTGGCAAAATACAGCTAGAAATTCGAACTTGGAGACCCAGCGACGTGGTGAGGGGGTACATGCTTCATGGGCAACACCAGGCTTGATCCTACCTTACAGATGGGTGGGATCAAATCCATGATCAGTGATGACCCACGGAGATCGATCTAATAATCCTTTCACTTCATGTGAGTGGAAAACATTAGAACGAGAAAACGTAATGAGTTACTCTCATGTTCATAATTTTTCACTGATTCTCTTTCTTGATCATTTATGAATTGCCGTTTTCTTTGAAAAGATTTGAGTCCCGTTTTATTTTCTCCTACACTAGGCGTCACTCAAGGCTAGGAATTCTTGTCTACCATAGTCTCTAATCCATACATGTGATCGAAGACTTATTTCTAAGAAAATGTATACATGATTTTAATGATGGTAGAGATGATGGTACGTATCGATGTATCTTCCAGTGAATAATAGGCTCCATTTTCCCAGAATATATTTACCTAGACCAGTGATACTCAAAGTGGTGGTCCGGTGCCGGTACGCAAACCATCAGCTACCGGTACGCGGTTAGTGTCCAGGCCATACTAAAGAATCATTTGTAAAGATTAAGGTTATATAATTTTTTTATGTTAATAAACTGCTTATTTTTTTAATTAATTTTCATATGTTTTGATATTGAATAATTTTTTGCAAAATAAATGGAAGATAAACAAATAGTCAACTTTTATTATATTCACCATATATATTGTTTCCGGAATAAATTAATATTGCCACGAAATATTAAAGGTCTGTGACACATTGAGAAAAATAAATGCCGGTCCGTCATATCAGATAGTTTGAGAAGCGCTGACCTAAACCATTGCAATGTATCCAATGGCTTTATTTTCCCACATTGCATCTTGGTGTCATAGATACCTTTGTTTAACGACGTACATGTACACGTATTTATGAGAAAATGAAACTCACCACATCTTCAATGATACAAAGCCCAATCTCAATATTCTCAATGCTCATTAAAGATGCTTTTTGGTTAGAATCTCTACATATATGTGTATGCGTGTGTGCGCGTGTGTGTGAGTATGTGAATGTGTGTTTGTATATATTATTATTTAGTTATATATATGTGTGTGTGTGAAAGAGAGAAAGAGAGTGTATGTGTCTATGTTTGTTTTTGTATATATTTTATTATTATTATTATTATTATTATATACTTATATATGTATGTGCGTGTGTGCGTCTGTGTGTGACGGTGTGTGTGTGTGTGTGCGTCTGTGTGTGAGGGTATGTGTGTCTATGCGTGTTTCAATATATATATTTATTATTATTATACAGTTATATACATATGTGTGCGTGAAAGAGAGAAAGAGAGTGTGTGCGTGTCTATGTGTGTGTATATATATATATATTATTATTATTTTATACTTATATATATATATATATATATATATATATATATATCTGTGTGTGTGTGCATGTGAGTGTGTGTGTCTATGTGTGTTTGTATATATTATTATTATTTTTATTAATACATAGTTATATGTGTGTGTGTGTGTTTGTTACGCGGTGAGGTTGCGTTAGATTTAAAACAAAATAATAGATTTGATAAAGGAATGTATAAGCGAGGTACTGTTATGTTGTAAACATTTTTTCATACGAATTCCGTTTAATGTTGAAATAATATTTCTGATGTTTAAATTGTATTCTTTAAATTCTTGCTTCCTTACACGCTACTTTTCTGGGTTTTATATGTCAATTCCCTTCAAGTTTTAGGTTTCGAGGCTTTGATTGCTTTCTTTAATGCTTTCTTTCCCTAACAACTCTTTCTATCACTTCCTCACAGTTTTCATTCGGAGCTTTTTCTTCCCGTTTTTGTTTCTTATATTCATTTCTTTCTTTCATTCTTTATTAAATTCTTCCTTTCTTTCATTCTTTATTAAATTCTTCCTTTCTTTCATTCTTTATTAAATTCTTCCTTTCTTTCATTCTTTATTAAATTCTTCCTTTCTTTTTTACCTGATTACTTATCGCCTCTTTTATTTTTATTTTTCTATTTTTATTTTTTTCACATTTTCCTTCTTTTTCTCCTTCTTTTTTTGCTTGTTTGTTTATATTTTGCTTTCTTTCTTTCCTTCTTTCTTTCCTTTTTTCTTAATTGTTTTCTTTCTTTTTTGATTAATCATTTCGCTTATATTTTCTTTTATCTATCTTTGTTTTTTCTTTCTTTCTCTCTTTTTCTTTCTTTCTTGTTTCCTTATATTTCTTTCTTTCTTTTTTCTTAATATCTTCTTTTTTTACTTGATTACTTATTTTGTTTCTTATATTTTTCGTTTTTCTGTCTTTCTTTTATCACATTTTCTTTCTTTCTCTATCTTTTGTTTCTTTCTTGCTTGCTTATATTTCTTTTTTTCTTAATTTCTTTCTTTTTTACTTGATTACTTATTTCATTTCTTATATTTTCTTTTTTCTATCTTTCTTTTTCACATGCTCTTTTTTCTCTCTTTTCCTGTCTTTATTGTTTGAATATATTTTTCTTTCTTTTTTTCCTTGTTTCTTCCTTTGTTTCTTTATTTTTTCTTTCTTTTTTACGTGATTACTTATTTCGTTTCTTATATTTTCCTTTCTATGTCTTTCTTTTTATAAATTTTTCCCCTCTTTCTCTGTCTTTTGCTTAGTTCTTGTTTACATATATTTTCTTTCTTTCTTTCTTTCTTTCTTTCTTTCTTTCTTTCTTTCTTTCTTTGATTTTATTTGTTTCTTTCTTTCTCTTTATGGCTTGTTTGCTTTCTTTCTTGTCTGGTTGTTTCAATTCTCATATTCTTTCTGTCTTTCTATTTTCACTCTTTCTTTGTTTCTCTTTTTTTTTTTTGTTATTTTCTTGCTTGCTTTATATATATATCTTCCTTCTTTTTGCCTTTCTTTCTTTCTTTCTTTCTTTCTTTCTTTCTTTCTTTCTTCTCATACGGAATTTTAATTACTATTTAACAATTGTCTTCTTTTCTGCCTTTGTTGATCTTATTTCTTTCCTTTTGAGTTTTGTCATTTGCTCTTTTGCGTCATAGTTTCGTCTGTTTTTCTTTTCACTTCCTCATTTTTGTTTCTTTTTTGCTCTTTTTCTCTCACAGTTTTATAAACTAACCTTACACTGTTATTTTACCGTTTTTATAACTTCTTCTTGTTTTCGTTTATCGTTCTCTTTTATTTTTTAATGTAGAATTTTAGCCAGAAGTTTTTTTTTTTTTTTAGTCCTTCTTCCTATTTTCTTTTCCTCAGTGGTCTATAAATAAAAAAAGATCGCGAAATATTTCGTGTCGTGTTTTGTTGCAATCGAATGAAGGGCATCGGGAAACACGCCGCTGAGTTTCGTTCAAAACTCGAAATGTGTACACAGATGGCGGCAAAAAGAAACGGTTTTCTTTTTAAAATATTTATTTTTTTGAAAGATGGAAAACAATGTACTGTGAAGACAGTGGGGGAAGTATTTATCGTTTGTCATGTAATGTTATTTTGAATCGAAAGGAGACGATACAATGATGCTGATCGAAATGAAATTTTTAAAAAGGCATGAGGTAACATTCAGATGCACTTCCTTCTGTTCTTGTTTTCAAAATACCAAAATAATGAATATTATATGTTTCGAAATCAGTACTAAGTAGTAATAGTATTAGTAACAGTTGTAATATTTGTTATTGAAGTAGTTATAATAATAAAGTATTATCCGACTTACGTAGATGAACAGCATTTAATGGCTCATAATAGACATTGCCGTACGCTGGAATAAGATCATGGAAAAACAGGCAAAAGTACAGCGCTAACAGAACCTGGCAGGGCGAAATCAAAGAATTATTATGCAGCATTGTATTACCTTTTTTGTTTGATATACTCCAAACCTTCTCTCTTGCAAGACTTCTTGGAGATATCTAACATCATCCCGATTGCGCAGGTGGCAACGCTGTTTGGAATAGATCATGTGCTGAGGAACATATTTTAGATACGGGTAGGAGATGAGATATGTTCATCATCACCTAGACTAAACATCTCAGAATCGGAGAGTACATCAGCTACTACTACTACTACCAATAATATTACTACTACTACTACTACTACTACCAATAATAATAATAATAAATGAATTTAATAATAATAATAATATATTCAGCCAAAACTAGAAGGCAAATTATGAAAAATCATATTGAAAATACATGTCTACTTGTAGATATTGCTCCAGTAGATGACAAAGCACATCTTTGAAAATCTTTGAGAAAATCATTAAATACAAGGATCCAGAGATAGAAATCAGTAGAATATGGCATCTGTTGTCATTGGTAATTTGGGAATTATATCTAAAGGACAGAAAACACGTGGAACAGATTCTAGGTAGCCTTAAAATATATGAATGCTCATGGGTACTTCTCACATTGCATAGATTCTTCTCCATGTAGTGAGCAGAATTACATTTATTTGTATGATTCCATGGTAACTAAACTGTTTGAATCTTCTGATGCAAAAACATAAATGTTGTCCTTTGAAGTCTCGGGTTGAGATTTGACAACTCATACTACACAAAACAATTATTATTATTATGAATAATAATAATAATAATAATAATAATAATAATAATAATCTCTTAGATCCTTAAGGCTTTGGAAATGTAAAAGGTCACCTGGGTGATAGTAAATTTCCTTAAATATATCATGGAACTTTGAAAATACACATAATACTTAAATCACACCCAAGGCACGACCACTTCCAAATGATTGGATATCCGACAATGACGACAATGAGTTGAAAGGTTTCCTCAATATTGTAAAATGTTTCATTGACCACATAGATATAGATTTTGGATTAGATAAATGTGCAAAAGTAAGATTCAAGAAAGGGAGAATTACAGAAACACACTAAATAGAATTAGATTTTGCCACAGAGTTTATGTAACTTGAATATGAAGAAACGGATATATACTCAAGAATCAGTGAAGGAGTTGGAATACAGCTTACCCAAATGAAGGAGAAAGTAAGAAAAGAATGCTACAGACGTGTGCGTCTAGTGTTAAATACGGAGTTGAATTCACAAAACAGAATA